TGTGCTCTTCCGATTTATTAACTGACACCTATATTTCGCTCGTCTTTGGCCTCTTATCCTGACTATTGTTTACAATACGACGTTGTAATTTATTTAGTTAAATATATAATTGTTTTTTATTAATTAATGCTATTTTTAATCAATATAGATAATTGATAAATAAAATGTATCAATTAGGTTAACTGAAGTACAGCCTTGAAAGGAGAAACGAACGGATACTTAAAAATTACTTCTGAATCTTCTGAAAATAAATTGCACTTTAAATACAATGGCTAGATTTAAAAAATGCACAGAAAAAGATATATCTGTATTACTTGAAACAAGTTCGGAATCAAATGTTGAAGAATTAGACGAATCTTATATTCCAAAAAAGAGCACAGATAACGATTCTTTTGATCTTTCCGATTCAGAACAAATCTTTGAACATAACAAACATTTCTTGTTACGAACTAATGCATTGCAGAAGGAGCAAGCCTCTCTACGTCTGAAGTTGAGACGTTCTACAGAACAGAGTATGTATAAAATAGATACTGAATCGGAGGATGAAAGACCTAAGAGATTAACTAGAAATGCAAAACGTCATTTGAAAGATTTGCAAGATGAAAATCAAATGCCACGTAAAGGTGCAAGAGTTATAAAGTTACCTAAAAGATATTCAGTATATGAGTGTAATTCGCCTAACAATAAATCACAAGTATCTTTACAGAGAGATCAGATTAATTATGATGAAAAGAAGCTACTTTTAAATTCACTGGATTCTTTTGATATGAGAAAACAAGAAACCAAAAAAGATGTAGTTGAAAGTGATGATTCAGATTGCGTTTGTGTTAATTTTATTCCAAAGACACCATCTACAAGATCAAAATTGAAATTTAATAAACAAAATCCTGCTCATTCTGCAGAAGATACCAAAGATAATACTCCTAAAGTTCATAGAACCAGATCGAAATATACATCTCCTTCTATGGATGAAGAAATTAAATTAAAAAAAGATAATACAGATAAAGTATTATCTAGTAACAAAATGTATCTTGAAACGGATGCAAGACAAAATGTTTCGCTTGAGAATACTCCTAAAAGATCAAGAAGTCAAAAAAGTGCTCGTAAAACTATTTTAAGTATGTCTAATAAACGTGAATCAGTATACACAGATGAGAATAAGAGCAAGGCTGACAAGGTGAAAGTTGTTCACAAAGTTGATAAAGATTTGTCTATAAAAACTCGTCAAAGGAATGACAAAGGTATTGAATCATCAGTAATGCAGAATGATTTAAATACTCCACAGGTTCGTGCATTGAAGCAGGGTGCTTTGACACCATCTATGAAAATGAGAACTGATATCCTAGCTAAACCAATTACACCATTGCAAGAAATCAGAACTAGATTGCATGTCAGTGCAGTGCCTAAGTCACTACCTTGCAGAGAAGAGGAGTTCAATAACATTTATACGTTCCTGGAAAGCAAATTAATGGACAAAAGCGGAGGGTTTGTATTCTTAATATTTACTTGCATTTATCTCTTGACTAAATATATATATATACAGGGTGTCCTCGTATAAGTGGTCACCCCTTTTTATCTCGTAAACTAGCAGAGATAGACCTAATAAATATAATATCAAATTAAACGGATCTGAGTAAACTTTATTGTAAGCACAGTGATCACTTAGAAATATTATCTGTGTTAGAGAGCGGAAAGACATGATTAATTTTTGGACGGTAAAGTGACAATTTTAATATCTTAAAAGTTGTAGCGTTCTTTTTAACGAATACAACGATGTATGATATAACGAAATTATCTTACGAATTATATGAATTATTTTGGTTTAAAGTTTTGTGGGCGATTACTACCTTTTCAATTTCGGTCCTGCAATGTGGCCAACTTTTGACCAGATTGACGAGAGTACTATGATCAGATGAAAACATTACTCGTCAATCGTCAACGCGAAAGTCGGAAGTTAGCCACACCGCAGGGCCGAAACTGAAAAGGTAATCGCCCGTAAAACTTTAAATCAAAATAATTTGTATAATTTGTAAGATAATGTCGCATGTAAGATTATATCACATCATTGTATTCGTTAAAAAAAAAAAAACGCTACAACTTTTATCTATTAAAGTTGTCACTTTACATTGTAAAAATTACGCATGTTTCTTTGCTCTCTAACCTAGATAATGTTTCTAAGTGATAAATATGCTTACTTACAATAAAGTTTAGTTAGAGTCATTTAATTTGATATTATATTTATTAGGTCCATCTCTGTTAGTGTACGAGATATAAAGGGTGTCCCCATGTAAGTGGCCACCCCATGTATATATGTATATATATATATATATATATATAAATGACTGAAACATTGAATATCTGTATTATTGCAGAAGTATCTATATAAATGGTGTCCCAGGTACAGGAAAAACTGCCACTGTAAATGAGGTTGTGAAATGTTTAAAGAGATCTGTGGAGAAGGGTAAATTAGACAATTTTGATTTTGTTGAGATTAATGGTATGAAATTATCTGAGCCCAGGCAAGCCTATGTACAGATTCTAAAGCAACTGACTGAAAAAGTTTTAACATGGGAACAAGCATATAATATGTTAGAAAAGAGATTTAACAGTAATGCCAAGAGACCAGTGACATTGCTACTTGTAGATGAGGTATCTGTTATGTACATACATATCTTTATTCCTTATATAATATATGTTTTTACTTTCTGTTTCTACTTTTACTTTTAATTATCTATTAGTTTATCGTTTTTCGAATTGTGAATTTATTTTGTTGTTTTATTTAGTTTTTATTTATTATTTTTCTCATTTTTATTGCTTTTGTTTCACTTTTTATAGCTTGATTTATTATGTACAAAACGACAAGATGTAATATATAATCTATTGGATTGGCCTACAAAAGCCTCTGCTCGATTAGTAGTTATTACTATTGCCAATACTATGGATCTTCCAGAAAGAGTTTTAATGGGTAGAGTCACGTCACGATTAGGTCTTACCCGAGTAACTTTTGAACCATACAATTATAAACAATTGTACGAGATAGTGTTAACCAGACTTAAAAATACAGATATTTTTGAAAATGAAATTATACAATTAATTGCACGGTAAGCATTATATAGTTTCTTTATTTAAATTGTTGATATATTCAGAGTGTCCGATTTTATATTTGACAGTCAAATATTTGGAAATCGCGAGGTTTGAGAGAAAAATGTTTCAGACAAAAGTTGTACGGTTTCGAGGGAGACATAAGATGATAACATTGGTTTGACCCTGAGTGACGTCGTCAAGGTCAGGACAAGGTCCCTTTGAATTTTTTAAATGGGACTCCCTATTTTTCATTGCATATTCTTATAACTTATTTCGAGAGCTTTCCAAAATGTTATAATAAAATATTTTTCCACTAATTACTTTTCGAGTTATAAGGCATGAAAGTTATGGTATCACGGGCATAATAGCATTATCCAAGGTGTCCGAGCAATGGCTGAAACCTTTTGAATATTGTTCAGGATCATGAGCTTTACAACATGTATCAAGATCATGATCATTCGAGATTGTTTCT